ATTTATTTATACAAGCACTGGCTACAGTCAGAAGTGCGGGAGGGTGAGAGAATTCACCAGAGCCGGAGCAGGGAGCAGAACAGGCAGACTGACGAGGTACACTGCTGAGGGGAGCAGCGGGCGGCAGGAGAGGTCTGCGGGCCATGTGGGACCCTCGCTGGTGCCCGGGGATTGAACCAGTGCTGCAGAGGCTGCAGGCAGCTTCGCAACCCAGCGCTCAACTGCTGTGCCACTGGGGAGGCCCATCATTGACTAGTTTTTAAGATGTTTAAGCAGCCTTGCATGCTTGGAATAACCCAACTTGATCGTGCTGTATTATTTATTTTATATACCACTGAATTTAGTTTGATAAATTTTGTGAAGGGTTTTTTAATTTTTAATCAAATTTTATTGATTCACAGTTCACAAAACTGTTTAGTTTGGGAATTTCAACTTCACATCTCAACATGTGCACATGCTGTAATTGCTTCTCCAATAAAGCTCACATTGGAAAAAAAAAAAAAAAAGCTCACATTGTCACTACACTGTTACATTAATCTCTTTGTGTCCTCTTCCCTTCTTATGTCTTCTGATAAGCTCCATAGAGTAATTTTTGCTGTGTTTTGCTGTTTGTTTTCTTTGGTTATTTATATTCCACAATTGAATGAAATCAATCTGGTAATTGTCTTTCATTTTTTGACATATTTAACTTAGCATATCATCTCAAGATCCTTTAAATTGCCATAAAAGGCACTTTTTGTCTTGTTTAATAGCTGACTAGTATTCCATTGAGTGTATATACCATACTTCTTTATCCATTAATCTATTGATATTTAGGTTAATACATACCTTGGCTGTTGTGAATAATGCTGTTATGTCATAGGGGTGCGTAAATCTTTCTGTATTAGTGTTTTTATATTTTATATTGGATAAATACCTAAGAGTGATAATGCTGGAGAATTGGCTGTGCCAATTTACATAGACTTTCAGTTGTCATTTTAATGCAGTATAAGCACATGTTGATTTTCAATGATACAGGCCTGAAACTTATATAATGTTACAATGCAGTGTTACTTTAACAAAAATAAACACTTTTTTTCAAGTTTACTAGTATAGAGTGGTTGACAATATCTTTTTTTAAACATCTTTTTTTTGCAAATGAAATTGTTTTCTGGATTTCTTACTCTTTGTTTGCATATAGTGACATTTGATTTTTGAAAACTGATTTTATATTCTGACACTTGAATACATTGATTTAATTAGTTTTCCAGTAGACTGCAAATAATGATAGTTTTACTTCTACTTTCCAATTTTGATTCCTCTTATATCTTTCTCTTGCCTCATTGCTGTAGCTGGGACATCCAATACTTGTTTTAATACTAGTGGTAAAAGTAGACATCCTTGTTTTGAACTATATCTTAGAGGAAAAGCTTTCAGTCTTTCAACACTGAGCATGATGTTGATTGTGGGTTTGTCATACATGACCTTCATTATGTTGAGAAATGTACCATCTATCCCCATTTTTTGAGGACTTATCAGAAAATGGGTGTTGCATCTTTTAAATGCTATCTCTCTCCATCTGTTGATATCATCACATGAGCTTTCTCTTACTCTTTTGTTTGTTTTTTTTTTTTTTAAGATTTATTTATTTATACAAGCACTGGGTACAGTCAGAAGCGGGGGAGGGTGAGAGGATTCACCAGACCCAGAGCAGGGAACAGAACAGGCAGACTGACGAAGTACACTGCTGAGGGGAGCAGCGTGCGCTGCAGGAGAGGTCTGCGCGCAATGTGGGACCCTCACCCGGCGGCTGGGGATCAAACCGGTGCTGTAGAGGCTGCAGGCAGCTTTGCGGCCCAGCGCTCGACCACTGCGCCACCAGGGAGGCCCTCTCCTTCTCTTTGTTGATGTGAATTACAGTAACTGCTTTTCCCATATTGCTCCGTCACTGTGACCTGGTAATAAATCCCACTTGGACGCATAGTTGAATTGACTTGCTAGGATTTTGTTGCAGGTTTTGCATTTAAGTTCACCAGGGAAATTGGTCTGTAGTCTTTTTTCTTTTTGTGATCTCCTTGTCAAGTTTTTGTATCAGTGATGTTAACCTCACAAAATATGTTTATTTGGAAGCTTTCTCTCTCTATATATATATTCCTCAATTTTGTCTGTTTAGACTTTATTGGAGGATTATATTATAGGGTCAAATAGATTTCAACCCAGATGGAATCAGTTGCATTCTATAGAAAGTTTAAATGGCCCTAATATGCTCTAACTAGAATACAAAAATGTTGTAGAGTAACTTGAAATATTTATTTACCACCACAACCCCACTTCAGTTAATTTTCTTAGTAAATAATTTTCTTAGTAAAATATTTTTATTTTTTAATTTTTTTTTAAGATTTTTTATTTATGCATACAAGCTGGGGTACAGGCCAGAGAGGCAGGGGTGAGAAGATCCACCAGAGACAGAGTGGGGAGCAGAACAGACAGACTGACTGAAATACACTGCTGAGGGGAGCAGCGGGCGAGACAGGAGAGGTCTGCTGCACCATGTGGATTTCTCCCTGGCCAGCCAGGGATTGAACTCGTGCTGCAGAGGCTGCAGATTACTTCATAGCGTGGTGCTTAACCCCTTGCACCACTAGGTAGGCCCATTAGTAAAATATTTTTAAATTTAAAAATATGCACTCACTGTTAGAAATTACTTATTAGAGTTAATTTCTATATAATATAAGGAATTATGCTTCTTTGTGTTCTCACCTTCATTCCTAGTCTGGTTATTATATAGCCACCTCTTACAACTCTAATTCAAATATAAATACATAAACTCCCTGCCTCTACCACAATTTTTAGAAAAGGCGGATCATATCTTACATATCACTTTTCACCTTGAAGTCAACAATATTTTTATTGTTTAATATATTATTGAAATCAACAATATATTGTAGCCATAAATTCAGTTCAGGTTAGCCAAACTGAACTGTCACTATAATCATGATGGGAATAATGATTACCTGTTGTAACATCAATGTAAAGTTTAAATTACAATTGCACTGTAATTTTCTATATAGTGAAGTCCATGTAGGTCTAACAGTTTTTTAAATAGAATAGGTGTTGATAAAATATTCAACTGGATTAAAGAGAAAAATAAAAACAAAGAGATGATAATTGTTATAAAATTTATCAATATATTTGATATTTCTAAAATACAGAAAATAAAACAGCCAAGAAAGCATTATGAGAATATGGTGTCTTTGAGAGTTACAACTTTTAAGAATGTGAGCTATTTATTATATTTATAGTATATAAAATATATAATTGTCCCATGAGATTATTTTGACAATAAACAAAATTAAGTACTAAGTGATATAGGAGGGTACATTAGTTAAATTGTGGCTAAATTTCCATGAACCTTGATTCTTTGTAAATGCAATGGGCTTTGCCCAAAATTCATATGAAATATTATTTCCTGTAAAGCTGTTTGAAGAATCTAAAACAATAACATAAGGAAGAAGAGCTTCTGAATAGTTAAAAGAAAAAGTCTTGATTCTTCTGTTAAAAGTTATGCATTTTAATATCATCTTTTGGCTGATTTATGTAAAGCTTTGTGTTATTCATTTTCTCAAGCGTGTCACTGTAGTGATATATGGTACATTTTAGCATCAAGTTTGCCATAAGCAATAAAGTCAGGGCCCCAAAGAAATTTTAATATATTTTCCCCATTTTTAACTGGGAGCTTTCCACTATTCAGTTATTTTGTTTGGGATACCATATTTGTTGATATAATTTTTATATCCACATTAATAATTTAAGTTTGAAATGTAAAATTTAAATAGAGTAATTATTCAATAGAAAAGTTTAAGGGTCATTATATATAAATTGAAAGTCTTAATGCTGACTTAAAATTTACACTAACATCCTCTCTAAGGTTTTATTTTACATTCTAGTTTGCTTGGAGCATTTTTCTCCAACAACAAGGTAAGAGAAAAATAAACAAGCAGGTGCCTTTCATTAAATGGTATGCAACTTGAAATGGAAGCATATGTCTATAAAATTCTGCAAGAAGAAAAAATAAAGTATGAAAATAACACATTCAGTTAAATTAAAAGTTCTTATTGCTCAAATAATAGCTGTTACAGATGGTATAAAAATAAAAAAGGAACACTCCTCAAGAAATTTATATTCCTAGTAAAAATAAAGTTTTTAAACATTTATAACATAAAGCCAATTATTTGTTACAACAAAAGACACAAATTGTTAAAGCCATCATTTGATGTGGTATAGGTATGAATATTTGAGTTTAATACTATATCATGGGCAGGATGTAAACAGTTAAAGAAAGAGAAGAAGAAACAAAGAAAGATAAGAGAGTAAGCAAAGGCCAGAGAGGAAAGAAGCAGAAATCATAGCAATTAGTCTCACTTCTCAGAAGCTCTTCCTCCTTATGTTGTTGTTTTAGATTCTTCAAACAGCTTTACAGGAAATAATATCTCATATTAATTTTGGGCAAAGCCCATTGCATTTACAAGCAGAAGTCACAGCAGGGACTAGCCAATAGTTCTATATTAGTGGAGCAAAAGATATACGGATGGGAGTCCTGGTAACATGAACATGAAAGGATGTAACAGCAACCTGTAAAATGACCTTGCGTTCATCGCTACACATTTTGTTTATTTAGAAAATAATTAGCACTATTATGAGTTTTTCTGCAGAGAAATAAAAACTACAAAGGAAAATCAAAATGGCAGTGGACTAGAAAATGGAACAATGAAAACAAGGCATCTACTTAAAGTTGTATCTTGCCCAAGAGGTTGGGAAAGACACACTTTTTTTTTTTTTTTTAATAGAGGCATGTTTTATTTATTTATTTATTTGTTTGTTTGTTTATACATGCACTGGTTACAGTCAGAAGCGTGGGAGGGTGAGAGAATTCACCAGAGCCAGAGCCAGAGCAGGGAGCAGAGCAGGCAGAAGGACCGAAGTACACTGCTGAGGGGAGCAGCGGGCGGCAGGAGAGGTCTGCGCGCCATGTGGGACCCTCCTCCGGTGGCCGGGGAGCAGCCGGGGATTGAACCGGTGCCGCAGAGGCTGCGGGCAGCTTCGCAACCCAGCGCTCAACCGCTGCGCCACCGGGGAGGCCCAGGAAAGACACACTTTAACTAGAAAGATGGGAATGGAGATGGAATGGCTTAAGGGACATAGGAGAACTAGCATATAGAGGATTAGATAACCAATTCCATGTTCATGGTAAATGTAAGAGAAAATGGGGCTATTCTGTGCCTGTTACCAGGGGCAAACAGTTGTGTTTAATTACAAAATGAGATGGAAAGTACAATTGGAGAGAAAAATAAGTTTACAGTGTTTACATAATGAGTTTTATACATATTAGTAGTCAGATCTATAAGCTGGTCAGAAGTAACTTTCTAGACTTAAGGAGAATGAGTAAATATTAATGGAAATTCCAGAAAGGGAGTGAATTGAGAAGTACCTGCATAATGAAAAGTAAATTTGTGGAAAAAGACAAAATTTCAATAAAATGAAAATATTGAAATATGAAAGGAGCCATAAAAAGAACTTGAGACAAGTGTTTAAGGTAAGACAGAATAGCTACTTAGGTGATAGAAGAAATCTTGAAATCGAGTAGAAGAAAAAAAGTAGAATAGCACAGTGACATAAATGACTGTAAGGGAAATTTTCAGGGAGATGGTGGCCAATATTATCAAGGAAAGGGATTAAGGATTATGAAGACTGGGAAAAGACCGATAGCAGTTCAACAAAGTAATTTCGTATGTATGAGACATGGATTGAATAGAAACTGCAGGGAGTTAGGGTACAGTTACAGATTTTCAGAGTGGTATGCAAGGTTCTACATTCTAGATCCCACTATTATTTGGGATGAAGTGTAATTGTGATAAAACGTGAAACAGTGTCTAAAATCTGCCCTCTAGCATTTATTTGTCTTTCTTTTGGCAATCACACTTTGTTTTCCCTCTAGAGAATCTCCTTCTCTACCAACTATGTGGACTCAGAAGTAAAGCTGGTGACTTGGTCAAAGCTTTACCCCATCACTGAGATGTACTGGGATTTCTGGGAGAGGATCTTTCACCATTTCCCTTTGAATTCATAATAGATTGTCACCTCAAAGCATGTAATTTCAAAGAAAGTCATAAGGGAGGAAAGATTTAACATGTTAATTATGGCAATAAAGATAAAAATATGTCTAGCAAAACTGGCTAAATAAAATGAATGCTTTTTCAGCCTTATTTTCAAATGTCTTTGCATCATAATGTTGGCAAAGATAATAGGAGAGGCAGAGGAGGGAAAGAAACATTACAGAAATGAGGGCAAGAGATGAAGAGAGTATATACACTTAAAGTTCATGGATATGATGTGTCAGCCAAAGTCAAAGAAAGAATAGTCTTGAGAAAATTGGCAATATGAATGAACATGGAATTCACACTTCCCCAATTAATCAATTTACTTCTTATGAAGTAAGGTACATATTTCTAAGAAATAAATAAATGTATTAGAAAAACAGTGGATGGATATAGAGATTGAGAAATCTCTATGTTCAAAATTCTTTTCAAGAATTATGAATATAATTGGATGGTCTGTAGTTGTCAGGTACTGAGGACACCTAAAAAAAAAAATTAGGAAAATTAACATATTTATTGAGTTTCATTGAATATCCCACCCTACGAAAATAACACTCCTTTCCACAACAGGGCACTAGACTCTGAAGACCAGTGAAATATCAAAACAAGTGAATGATGAGATATTTAGGGACACTGTACATGTAACAGTCTACAAGTCTCAGCAAGAATTCAAGGGTTTTGATTTTTTTTATATCTGCATATGATAGTAAAAATAGGAGAGACCTAAAATTTAAGGGGTTCCTTTCAGTGTGTCTCCAGGATGTTTGGATAGTATAACATCATTTTTTTAAGGGTTATCAGCTTTTTAATAAAAGGTCACCAATAGTTATTTTCCTAATCATTTCAATGACCTATTTTCAATCTTCTCTATCCTATTTTTTTCTGGAAAAATGACACCATTTATTCTGTACTATTGGGAACTCTTTTCCTGAGATTTCTGGGGCTACCATTCTTTCCCTACATATAAAGCAAACATACCAAGGACCATATTTTTTAATAAAAAGGTCTTTAAACAATTCCAAAAAAAATCATTAAACTGTTTGTTGTATCTTGATGATAGATATATTTAAAATAACTACCACATTTTTGCCTCTTTTTCATCCTTCCCTTGTACTTCTTGTCCCCCAGTTATTTTTGAAAAAGTCTTTATTTCTCCTTTTCTTCTCTTAAACTTTGTGTAATGAAGATCCAATTCATCCTCAAATATTTATGCACAAAAATCTAATTCTTATTTTCCTAGATGATTTAATTGTTGGTTATATACTTTCTTATTGTCCCATTATTTAATGTATTAAATACAGTTCAATGTAACCATTGAACTGTAACCTCTTCAGAAATGTAACATCTTTCATGTATAATATAGAGCTCTTTTTAAAAACATTTATTTTTATTAATTTATGCATACAAGAACTGGGGTATAATCTAGAGGTGTGGGTGTGTGTGTGAGAGAGGATTCACCAGAGACAGAGTGGGGAGCAGAACAGGCAGACTGACTGAAATACACTGCTGAGGGGAGCAGCAGGCGAGACAGGAGAGGTCTGCTCCACCGTGTGGGTCATCTGCCTGGCTGGGAATCGAACTCATGCAGCAGTGGCTGGAGACAGCTTGATAGTGCTGAGATTTAACTCCTGTACCAGGGAGGCTGCCTATAGAACTCTTAAAACTACAAACATTTACAAAATTCTTAGCTATTAACTTAACTATTAATTCTTAGCTATTAACCTTGAAATTTACTTGCCTTGTCTTCCAAATGCAAATCTAAAAAGCGTAGGTAAGCCACAGGTGCAAATGCATCAGGTGAATGTATGACAACTTCTGATGAATCCCTGAAATACAAAAATGCATAATATTTATCTATTACAAAGTTGTGGAAAATCACTTCTGCTAGAGAAGTGACTGAAAGTTCTCATTTTTTACTTATTTCCACTGGTACACAATATTTGGTGATTAACATCTAATTTTAATAATCCAAAATTTAACTGGGAAAAGGATCAAGAATACTAAACCTTCAAGAAAAAGCAAAGAAGTTTTTCATCTTTTGAGCATTCGCTCAAAACTCTGATATTCTGAGATTTAAAATTCCTATTCAATTCCATTTTCACAAACTTGCTTGGCATGGGCTAACCATTAAACAATAGTGCTTTATCTGCATTATTCTTTTAATTTTCAAGAGGTAATTCATTCAGTGTTTCATGCAAAATCTCAATTATCCTTCACAAAAGCAGTACTGGTGATAGTTTTAAGCTCTAGATGAACTCTTCACACTGCAATATCATTGCTATTAAAATTGATTGTCTGACATAGTAATTACCACGTTCAGGTAAAATGGTATGAACTGCTTGCTGGCACCATATGGATACATGTAAATTAACTCAATTTTTATCAAAGATACCCTGTAAAGCACATATGAATAACTAAGATTATGTGTGAAGTTCTAATAACTAATTATTTTTTATTGTTATTTATTAAGAAAGCAACAGTATTTCACATTTCAACTGAAAATTTAAAAATAGAAATTCCATATATTGCCTTAGTGCCTTGAGAGCAATTTCCATTGCTTATATTAATACATTATTAGCATTTTAACCATTGTAGCATAAAAAAAATAAACACTTCATTTGATTCTTTGCCACTAATCTAAAATATTTTTTGAATCAATGTTTCTAATGCAAAGTTATTTAGTGGCAATAGAAGAAAATTCAAAGTACTTTGCTCCAAAATGTTTTTATGGGTAAAATCTGTTTATTTTTCCACTTGAAATATCAAAGATACAGAAAATATATTTAATGATAAAAAAAAAAATCTACTACCATTCATGAACCTTTAGTATCTGACATGTGTCTTGTTAGTGCTTAGGAAAAATAACATTAAAAAGGGCTTCTATGCCACTAAAATGAAAGCCATTTGTAGGAGAAATAGAATCATTAAAGAGCCAGGATCCTGTTAGAAAAATATAACCCGCCCTCACAGGCTACATCAACCCAAAGATACCTAAAGCTATAATGAGGAGCAGGAGAAAGAGAACAGGAAGAGGAGGACTTCTTGCTTTCTACTCTCTACCCCTTTGGCTTGATCGCCTCATGGTTTATTTGCCCTATTTACTACGGGGGTTCCCTTTCTGGCCATATCTGACTAATCAATTAGATTTAAAATCTAATTCCTGGGCCTCCCCAGTGGGGCAGGTGATTGAGTGCAGCACTGTGAAGCTGTCCGCAGCCTCTGCAGTGCAGGTTCGATCCCGGCCAGCCGGGAGATACCCACATGGACCCACAGACCTCTCCTGTCTCTCCCGCTGCTCCCCTCAGCAATGTATTTGGTCCTTCTGCCTGTTCTGCTCCCTGCTCTGTCTCTGGTGAATTCTCTTGCCCTCCCACTCCTGCCCTGTACCCCAGTTCTTTTATGCATAAATAAATTAAAAAACTTAAAAAAAATCTAATTCTTGTGTATGAATTCACTCTAACATGATATTTCAATCTCTCTGTTCTTGATCCCAGTCTTGCAAAGTGACTCTCTACCTTAGTTAAGCCTATTCTATGCTGCCTGGTTTTGATATCCTTGACAGTAAAGTATATCAAAACTATAATTAACCCAAACTAATTCCATGTCAGTAGAAAGAGTTTTAGGTCCTTCATTCTCATGCTGGTAATCCCCACAGAAACAGAAGGTTGACAGCAAATAGCTCACTTAATTGATGTAATTACTGCATTTTGAATCAAGATTGTTACCTAGATAAAATACATAACAATATAAGCAATAAATGAAAAAGAGTATGATTTTGATGGATTCTATTAAATCCATAACCTCTCATTGACTAACATCATTTCAACCACTTATACAAAGCCAGAGTCAATTGGGAGAGACTAGATCTTAAATGAACAGTTTTAAATTTCAAACAGAATAATGCTACTATTGCTCTTCATTTCTCTTTCATAAACTGTCATCTAAAACTTGACTTTCAAGGATCTCTGGTTTCCATAGGCTTTATACATAGTAATTTTGTATAGTAATGCTGATAATAAAAATGGGAATATGGGATTGTAGCAAATACTGACATTAAAAAAAGCATGTTCATTAACAGAGAGCAGATAATTTATCCCTTTCATGAACACAACATTAGGATTTTACGTCCTTTCATATACACACATATACGTATTTTAAAGTAAGAATTACTAAGATAGTTGTTTCTTTACTTGAGTAGTTCCAATTGTCCTTTACTCTTTTTTTTTTTTCCCTATTGAAATGCCTTTGGCTTACATTCTTGTTAGTGTTTCAGGAGTACGCATGTCCCCTCAGGTCTAAGTCCTTGTCGCAAACACATCATGGAAGCACCCTCAGTCCTCACCATTCCATTGTCCTTTACTATTAAAGACTATGCTGCAATTCCTCAATTATCTTCACAAAGGAACCACCTTTTCTGATCTAAGATTTGTATCTAGAAGTAAGTAGTGAGTATTATACTAAATGACATAAAAAGTGAATTATAAGATGTTTTGGCTAAAAGCTTTTAAAATTACTTCTAGGCAAAGAGTGTTAGACCAGTTTTTTTTTTTTTTTTTTCTTTTCCTAGAGGATTTAAAAAATGTGATTTGGAATTTGGGGCCAAAAAAAAAAATACTAACCCTTGATAGCAGACTACAGAACTGAAAAACCAAGGCTGGGAGGATGGAGGTGGAATAAGAATAAAAAGGGAAGAAAGCACAATGGACTAGCATGGTGGACTGTGGATGATTTGGTGGTAGTTGTACTACAGTGGTAATACCTGAAAGGGTTATCCAGATATTACCACAATTTAAGATAAAAATAAAATAAAAAAGAGACATATCTTATTAATGAATGCCTTCCTTAACACAAAAATCCCTCTCTTCTTAGGCAACCATTTAGATACATTCAAGGAAAATGGGTGATTTCTTTAATGTTATTAATTTGAAAAGTTGACCAAAGCAACCTTGATATCTTTGGCCAGAGGCCTCACTGCTTTGTGGATTTGGACCTGTTCTGAGATGTATACAAAGAATCTACAGCAAGAGGATCATTCTTTATTTTCCAGTGGGTTAATCTACCAACAGTCTCTTTAGTGTGGTTCTGCATAAGGAGTGATGTAGTGTTTATGCTCATATCAAATATACAAAGAATATATTTTGGGGATTCTAAAGTGTTCATAGTTAAATATCAAGGTACAGGAAGGCCTCCTAGCTCATATTTTTTTCACATCAGCTATAGCTAATATTGTAAAGAATATAAATCACAATTTTAAAGATTAAAAATTCTAAGGGTAATTGATTTAGACTTTGTAACTGCTTTGATTGTACAGTTTGTGCTTTGCTTCTTTTTAATAATAGTTTAGGATTTAAATGTCTCAGTATGTCTATAATCCAAAAGAATACATATACTGAAATAATGTCAAACATTTGAAATAAGCAAATGAAAACTAAAAAAAAAGTATCTCTTAAGAACTTCTAGAATCACTCTAATTTCTCTAAATTATTTCATTTTACAAAAAGGATTCAATATGTGTTTTTTTTTTAATTCCTTATTATAAAGTCAAAAGGAAAACGAAAAATACTGGATGGTTTCACTTATAGGAGGAATACAGGGGATCAAGGGAACAAACATAATGACAACAACAACAAAAACACAACAAAACAAAAACAGACAACTATAAATCAGAGACATTTTGCAGGGGAGGGGAAAGAAGATGAATCAAAGCAAGGGCAGGAAGAACATAAGGGACTGTGGTGCATGGGTGAATTGGTAGTAGAAAGTTGTGGGGACTACACCTGAGAAAAGAAAGTAAACATTGTAAGAAAAAAAAAAATAAAACAAATGGATTAATAAAAAAATTTTAAAAATTCCTTATAATCAAATAATATTGCAAATAAAAGTGTATTTTGTCTTCTTTTAGAGGTGGTCTTCCCTTTTTTAAAAAAAATGTTTATATCAGTCATTTGAAATGGGATTCCTAAGTTGTAAGCTCAGTAGTGGCAGACCACAATTACAGTAACTATAAAAGGAGAAATTGAGAAATCTGCCCACAATATAAATTCTAAATGATAGAATCCTGCATTTTTAATGGTTAATTGTTAATCAACAGTTGCAGGAACAAAATTTATCTTTTAATTGTATCATATGGAAAATATATTTAAATAAAATAACTTTTATATACATCATTTTAGAATATGCAATCCTTTAGAATGTGCAATTCACTCACATCATCACCTTTAGTGCTTATCAGGTTAGTGACATTTTCCATTTTAAATTGGGAGAAATATTTTTATATTTATATAAAATATATAGTTATATAATATATATGTAATATGTATATAGTGTATAATATAATTATATAATGTATTTATAATTTATATACTATATTTACAAATTATATAGTAAGTGACATTCTTTTTCCACTAAACCAGCATATCCCAACACATAATCTCTAGTTATTAAACTTTTAAAAGGAACAAACAGAAGTGAAACATGATTCATAGAAAAACCAATAAATGTCACAATTTAAATAAACAGTTATTAGTGCCTGTTGAGTATTCTGAGAGTTCAGATATGAGAACAAGCACTGGAGGCAATGGCTGCGAAAGCCTTAAAAAGGAACGATTTAGCAAAGTGGGGAGAAAGGGGAAGTCAATTTAGAATAAAGGGATCAAGTCAGAAAATACAAAGCTAAGGAAGGCATAGCGTATGAAGAATAAAGCAAAGAAAATGTCTGCGCATCAGAAGATTAGTGATTAACAGACAAATGAATAAGAATGAAAAGACAGTGCTTTCTCAGTGTTTCAATGTACACGCCTACATGTTAGTGCTTATGTGTATTTTTGATTTGCCTGTCTGTCTCTCCTGTTAAGGAGGCACTTCTACAGAGCAGGGTAGCAGCTTGAAGTGTTCCACCCACATAATTTGCCTCATTAAATGATTATTCAGTTGAACTGAACAGCTCATTTAGGTACTAGAGACAACTCATACACCTCCCCTGACACCCCTGTCTTTCATAGCATGACTAATTCCCCTCATGCCACTGTCTCAGGTTTAGGTTTCCATATTTACAAAATTATGAAGTGAAAGAGATTCACTTTTCAGGTATAAAATACAATAGACAGACCTTCTGGTTATGCAGTGTGACGTAACACATACCTTATAATTTCAGGTTGTCCCTAAGACATCTGAATGCTCTAGCACCTCAAGATGTCAAGTGAATGATAAAAGTATTAGCCCATGGCATTTTTTCTCTTAGTGTGCTTTTTTCCTTTGAATTTGATTAGTCCCATATTAATAAATAAATATATTGTAAGCCCCCATTATAATTTTGATATTATTATGCAAATGGTTTTCTTAAATAATCGAACAGTTTTATTTCCTAGAAGTAGCACCTCATGCACACTTCATTCATGAATCACTTTGTGATTCTCATAGACAGAAAAAAATATCTCTCATATATAAACTCACTTTTATGACACTTATCTTTACCATCTTGTATCATAATTATGTACAGACATAGCTTCCTTCCACCCTTTGAAGGCATATTTGCTGGACAACAGTGATGCCCAGCAGAATGCTTTGGACATAATAGGTACTGATAAATATATTTCTTTAAGAGTATTATTATTTTTTTTACATCTTATTTCCCAATGATTTTATTTTCATTAATTAATTTTAATTCAGGTAATATTTGGATACTGACATCAGGTATTAACACCGTAATGCAACCACCAAATCACCCATAATCCACTATTATAGTCTATTGTGCTTCCTTCCCATTTTATGCCAAATAAATTATTATTATGTTGATGATTATTAACATAATCGAAAAAAGTTAGAGTGCATGAAGAAGAATCAGTATATCATATAAGGTAGTGAAAATATCTTGGCTTTATTTCAGTACATAAATGTACTTTTACAATAGTGTTTCAGTTTTCTTAGAGCACTCCTTCCTTCATTATTATGTACAAAGATGTCATCTCTTAGTGTCGGAAATATTGGAGTTGTCCATTCAATACTGGATCCTAATCTTTCATCAGATGAGGCTTCTGAAATCAAGCATAATTCTGACAATCTTTTCCAAGAAGCATAAGAGCTCAGGGAAAGCAGATAAAGTGCTTTCTCAGCATATGCAAAAAGCAACATAAATTAGAGTATGGATAATAATGTAACAAACTGAAGAAATTTTCTATTTTTCACTACACTAATTTTAACAATTTATGGCAAAGAAATCACACTACTCACCATAAACTGAATTCATTTAAAAACAAAGTTTATATGTAAAAACAACTCCAAATACTTGAAGAGAAATGTTTAGCATTACCATTCTAAGTTGTTAAAGCAAAGAAAAAGGAAAAAGAAGATGGAGTTAATGGAACCCGCAGGCTACTGATGTGGCAGTTTATCAAATGTAGCTGTAATGAAAGATAAATAATACAGGCAATTCACACTTCATGAAAGGATAAAAGTGTCAGTGTGTAGGTACCAGTTTTACTGCAGGCCATAATCAGCAAGTAAACGAAAGTGCAATGTCTAAAAAGTTTATAGCCTTCTATGAAGGCCTCGTCTTGTCAGGTATTGATTTAGGTATTCAGACGACTTCACTGGTATTAAACAAATTGAGTGTTTGTGAACTTAGAGGACATGTTCTATTTCTCCCAACAAAAGTTGCCTCAAGCTTAATGCTAAGTTGTTTCCATCACTTAAATTTAAGGAAAAGGAAGAAAATGCTGAAATGATAACTCACACAATTATTTTCTTCTTAAATAGAGGGCAATCCAAAGTGAATGTCTCATATTCTCCACCTTCTCCACAAACATGGACTCCATATTTCTTGGAAAGCTGAAAATAAGAACAGAAAGAAAAAAAAAGCAAACTTGCTCAGTTAATTTGTCTTATTTTGTCTTAAACATTCATGCAAAAAACTAATTCCAAAAGAGATTGCAAAAGAGATGCTACAGCATCATAATTTCATATTTCTACTTAAAATGTGTAAAAGCCATTTGAAAAAAATGTTGTCATAACATTTTTAATAATCCCAAAACTCTTACAAGAAGTGTAAGTCAAAAACATTTTTGTGTACAAAGAGAAAACTTAAAGATGATTATAAATTTTAGAAATGATAATAGCTTTAGATTCAAAGGGGGGTTAAGGAGGAAAGGTGCTAAATCATTATGTAGTAAATGCAAATATATATACAACCAAGTTGTACTTCCGCTACTTGTTGACCTACACATGGAAAGGACAAAAAAAAAAAAAAAAAAAAAAAAGTTGTGTTCAGAGCATTTCTCAGAGATACAGAAAAAGAAAAAAAAAATCCAAGACCTTTCCTTAGGTTTGTGAACAAGAAGTTACAGACATGGTTATTTGTTTGAGGCTATTATCATTAGTAAAGTTCCAAAGATACTGAGAACCAGTATAATTCCAAAGCTATAGACAAGTCTCAGGAGGGACTAAGTCTAAAAAAGGTTGGATAAATGTAATGTCCAATTAAACTAGAAACTAAAAAACTCCCCCAATCCCCTGTAATTAGATATAAGCCATATTATTTAAATGATCCTAATCCAGGGAGTAAAATAATCTCCTATGTGATTGGTACATGACTAGAACAAGTGCAGGGCAGCACTCTCACTGGCTGCGTCATAAAATCTTCCCGCTTCTGTGTTGAGATTTTATCACTATAATTCCATCTTCTTTATTCTGAATTTCATAGCTTTTCTGCTAATAGTTTCTCCTCGCCCAAAGTCCTCACAACTTAAAGGAAAGTGATTCCATTGATGTTCTCTGTTACTGCCAGTCCAGGGACTGTGGCCTAACTCTTCAGTTTTACCTGCATAGTTAAATATTTATCTGTTTATTTTTGTGGTTGTGTTGGCATTCTGAATCCATTACATTTCCACTCTTGACTATGTACCCTTAGGGAATTAAAATTTGGGTCTGGTAGAATTCTATGCTGCCTCCAAGGATCAGCAGTAATGCGAAAGACATTGTAAAGCCAAATAGCAAGAAAAGTGAGAGAAAGAAAACTAGGTGGTATTTTCTGTAACAGTTCACAAGAACAAAGCAGATAAATCTCCACCACTTTGGGTCATGAAGTAGAGAATCAGCAAGGCATAATAATTATAGTTGGTCCTTACAGAAGCAGATAACAGGAACAGATAACTATATTAAACCAAACTGAATTAATACCTGCTTTGTAATAATAATGAGTAAGAATTTCTCTTTTAGAAACATCTCTGGCTGCACAATGGAGAGTGGGCTGTAAAGGTTTAGGTCAAAAAGCAGAGAGCACCTAGGAACTGTTGGAGGAATCTGGGCAGGAGGTAAAGGAGCATTGAGGAAGGAGAGGACATATGTTTTGAAAGACTTCTAGGACATTAAAATAGTTGACTAGTTAGAAGAAAGAGTAAGGGAGGTTAAAAAATTTTAAGGAAAATTTCCAGGTTTCTGCTTTGGGAAACTGGATGATTGATGGTTCTGTTTATTACTATCTCAGCATAAGGAGCAGTTTGCTGGCAGTTAGGCATCCAAGTTACTGAATTTTCCTGTGCTTCTCTCCCCCCTTCTGACCCTAAATTATAAATATCCTTCATGGTTTCCTCTATAATATGTTCTTCTCTATCAATTATTCCCCTATATATACACCATGATTTCAACTCTCACCTTTATTGTTATTCTCCTGCTGCTAATACTAATACTTCAGTACCAGTTAAAGAATATTTGCTTTATACCATAAGATTAAGAGATAATATGATTATCTTATTTAATTCTTAAAATAATGATTTAAAAAAATCATACGTTCTGAAACAGACTTAAGAATAAATTTAAGATCTGCTATTTTCCAAGTGAGTTATTTTTGTAAAAGTAACTTACACTCTGAGTGACTCATTACCTGTAAAATGTAAATCTTAATAGTAGCAACCTTATAGGTATCTTAGATGATTTTAAACAAACAATGCATGAGAAGCAATTATTACATAGGCACTTAGTAAGCGCTTAATAAATGCACAGTTAACTACATAGTAGGGTAGAGCACAGATTCTGGTGAGATACAATGAAAGCAGCAGTGAGAATGGCCTCTATCAAAAAGACCAGAAACAACAACTGAAAAGGAATGCTTGTATACTGTCGACAGGAATGTAGACTGCCCAGGTCTATGGAAAGTAGTGTAGAGGTTTCTCAAAGGACTTAAAATGAATGTGCCAATAGACCCAGCAAACCCACTCCTATTCAAAAAATACAAAAACACCATTTCAAAAGGAAACCTGCATTCCCATGTTTACTACAGCACTATTTACAGTAGCCAAGATATGGAAACAAACCAAATGCCCAAAAATAGATGACTGGATCAAGAAGATGTGGTACGTATATACCATGGATATTACTCAGCAATCAAAAAAGATAAACACATGCAGTTTGCAGCAACATGGATGGTGCTAGAAGGGATCATGCTCAGTGAAATAAGTCAGAAAGAAAAAGAAAAATACCAGATGGTCTCACTGATAGCAGGAACCTAGAAAATCTAAATAAGGGACCAGGAAAAAGACTAATTATAAAAATCAAAATCAACAAGCAACTATAAACCAGTGACACACTACAGTGGGGGAGGGGGGGGAAGGGAATAGGATCAAAACAAGGGGGGCGGGAATTGTATGGGGACTATAACCAAGATGAAAATGCATACATTGTGCAAAAATGAAAAATGATGTAAAAATATATAAAATAAAATTTAAAAAAGCACATCTTTAAGAAACATATAGTCTTCCTCTAAAATCTCCAGTAACTCCTAAATTATCACCTTAACATTCAAAATCTCTCACTACGTGGTTTTGACCATTTTCAGTTTGATCTCCTACTCAAAATACAGTCTAGATATCCAGTCAGTCAGAAATCTTTTCTAATGTTAAAACCTAGTAGGGTATCTCTGAAATAACTGAGAATTCTCTTAACAACATTTACTCTTTTTCCTGGTAATTTGTTTTTTTCTTGGAACTCCTATGGTACAAAGTTTTTCCTTTCTTAGAGTACATTTTAATACATCTTGTAATTTATAGCAGTCATAATGTCAAGTCAACTGTGATGAAATTCTCTTTCTCTTTTGCTTTTGTTTAAGTGGTAGTTAGTTGGGATTACAAATTATCTTTTTATCAAACTGAAAAGGAAGACAAAGTGACTAATAAAAAAACAGAGGTATGAAAATATATTAACTATTAATATCTGGACCTAATTTCTCATTAAGGCTTTCCAATTCTATATGAATAGTCCTGGAAAATGCAACCAGATCTTCCTACTCACAATCTTTATATAATATGGTTTCTCTCTTCCATCTAGCAGACAACCTTTACTTAAATGATCTTAAGAAATAAAAGAGAAACTATTGCTGGTAAAGATGGTGGATTGAATCCACGTATTTACACACATCTCTTCTAAAACCTGTTGGAAGGTATTTCATAAAAAGGCATACATCACAAAGGTGGAGAGCATACAAGAGAAAGTGACAAAATCAACAAGTTTAGCAGAACTAAGAATACTGATTACTAAGCTAACAGTGGAGAATACTGAGGACATTCTCACAGTAGAATAATTCCCTTTTTTACACAGTAGAATAATTCCCTTCCTCTAAAACAACAGGCTAAGGAAGTGACTCCTGGTGGCTCTTGGTGCCACTGGAAGTGAAGGGGGAATGAAAAGAAGGATTGATAGGCAGTATGTTTAACAAACAATTCGATCCTTTGATCCATCCTGCTAGGCTGGCAGCTGCCTCTCCTCTACCCTAGCAGAATACGACATTTATTCTCTGTAGAGGGTGATACAGAAGAACTGTCCTGGGAGAAATGAGACAAACCTGAGGGCAGAGGCAGTATAATAAAAATAGAAGGATTCAGTTCATGTGTGCAGGCAAAAATTCTGAAACTTCTAGCTATTTTCCCTGCTCAGCAACCAGAAAACCAAAACCAGAATAAATTACAGCATGCCTTCACTTAAGACAGAAGACTGGTGTGTAGTTTTCTTTGGAAACTGACCAGCTCAGATTAAATGACTACCTATACTTCTCTATAGCAACTTGAGGTCACAAAGCACCACACATTTAGTGCTTACAATAAAAATTTTAGGCCCCTACTTTTAAATATGAGTAGAATACCAAAGATTACCAGAGACATCTCTAAAATGAAAGAAAACAAGGCAAACTATGGAGAAAACAGACTATGGGAGGACAGAAGGCAACAAACAAAGTACAAAACAAAGATTATGTAATAAGGATACAGTGTTATAACTTAAATTCTCACAGCATGGCAACAGTGAATGAAGAGAGGAAAGTTAGAAATTAAGGGAACATATAAATAATTGGAATTCCATAAAACAAAAACAGAGTGGTAAAAACACTAGTGAAAAAATGCAAGGAAATTTCCCAAAACCAAAGTTTCCAACTGAAAATTCTACTTATCCTAGCACAATGGATTAAAAAAAAATACCTAAGACACAACATCTAAACTTGTACAATTCCAGGGACAAAAGAAATACACACTTTCAGAGAGCAGATGAGAAATAAATAAATAAGGTGATATAATAACTGTCAAGATTCAGAATGACTTTGGACTTCCTAACAGCATACCAAGTTACAAAGAAATGAAACACTATCAATATTCAGAAGGATAATTATTCCAAATATAGAATTCTACGATCTGCTGAAGAACCAATCAAATGTGAGTTATTAAGACATCTTGGAGATGCACAATCTCAAAAAATTTATCTCCCATGGGCCCTTTCTTAAGAATATTCTGGCAAATGCGCTTCACAAAAATGAGAATAAAGAAAGAAAAAGAAAGTCACTGGATCCAGAA